TTTAGAAAATTTTAGAAAAAAAAATCATCAGATTTGGAGTCAGTATGAGAAAGAAAAACTAGTTACAAAGTTGACCCACAGATTAAAAAAAGAAATCACACTGTTCACTATGATCATGTAAGGATCATCTAGAACAGTGTGATTTCTCTTTTTAATCCGTGGGTAAACTTTGTAACTAGTTGTTCTCCCTCATACTAACTCCAAATGTCATAGTTTTTTTTCCTAAAAATTTCTAAAATCATGCTTCAGCATTTAAGTTTGATCAAACTTGGATGTGACAATGTTTTACACATTTTAAAATTTAAAATTTAATAAATTCAAACCAAATTTTCAAACCCTAAATGATTTCATATGTAAAAGTGATGAATACAAAAATTGTTCAACTCATCAAGTTCTACAACTTTTATTTTGGTCATCTTGTCATTTGACAAAATTTGAACCTTTCAAATTTGAAATTTTAAAAAATAACAAGTTCGAACCAAAATTTGAGACCCAAAATGATTTGAACATAAAAAGTGATGAATACCAAAGTTGTTCAACTCATTAATATATACAACTTTTATTTAGTTATCTTGTCATTTGATAAAATTTGAACATTTCAAATTAGAAATTTTGAAAAACGATAAGTTCGAACCAAAATTTGAGCCCCAAATTGATTTCAACATAAAAAGCGATGAATACCAAAGTTGTTCAACTCATGAATATATACAACTTTTATTTTGGTCATTTCTTCATTTGATAAATTCTTAGCACACATTGTTCACTAATATTATACATGTATCATATAGTTTATAAAACCTTACGAGAGATGTGTCACATTTGTGAACAATGTCGTTACCACTTTGTCATATGAAGAAATAACCAATACAAAAGTTGTAGATCTTGATGAGTTATTCAACTTTGTTATTTATCACTGTTTCAGCTGAAATCATTTGGGAATCAAAATCTTATCCAAAATTGCATTTTTTTGAAATTCAAAATTTAAATTGCTCAAACTTTTCATGTGTATATATTGACAAAACCAACAAAATAAATTGATAGAGAATGATTTTAGAAAATTTTAGAAAAAAAAATCATCAGATTTGGAGTCAGTATGAGAAAGAAAAACTAGTTACAAAGTTGACCCACAGATTAAAAAAAGAAATCACACTGTTCACTATGATCATGTAAGGATCATATAGAACAGTGTGATTTCTCTTTTTAATCTGTGGGTAAATTTTGTAACTAGTTATTCTTCCTCGTACTAACTTCAAATGTGATGATTTTTTCCTAAAAATTTCTAAAATCATGCTTCAGCATTTAAGTTTGATCAAACTTGGATGTGACAATGTTTTACACATTTTAAAATTTAAAATTTAATAAATTCAAACCAAATTTTCAAACCCTAAATGATTTCATATGTAAAAGTGATGAATACAAAAATTGTTCAACTCATCAAGTTCTACAACTTTTATTTTGGTTATCTTATCATTTGACTAAATTTGAACCTTTCAAATTTTGAAATTTGAAAAAAAAACAAGTGGACACTGCAGGGGCGGCTGATGATTGAGCCGGCCCTACTGATCAGCCCCAACTGCAGGGGTGGCTCAGGTTACCAGCCGCCCCTACAGTGTCATCTGTAGGGGCGGCTGGGTTGCTGGGGCCCGAGGACGATCACTGTAGGGGCGCCCTCAACCCTAGCCGCCCCTACAGTAAAAATGTCCCCGTTACTGTTGTAAGAATCTGGCGTAATGGGTGGATCCTACGCCTCCTTACCACGCGCTCGAGCAGCTCCGGGGGAGGCAGAGTAGGAGCACAACATGGAGGATGATGTTGCACTGACTATGGCGAAGGTATCGTGTTCGACAAGATGTGTCAAGGGGTAAACTTACCGGTCTTAAAGATAAGGTGATTCTATGCAAGCCAAAGCAAACAACCAAACAAACCAAAACTTAGTCATGTTTCAGCAATCACTCCAACCAAACAAGTGGCTATTGGCTTGTGCCAACCTGGCTAAGTCGCCTGGCTCGAAAAGCTAGCTAGGCTTGGAATTGAATATGAACCAAACACACGCTACATGATGAGCATAGTTAGCGCCAGGGGCAGGGGTGGAACTACGTCGTTGCATTAAGCCAGTCTCAGAGGGGTTTCATCATAGTTTCATGGGTATTAAATACGTTGATGTGGCACCATATTGATGAAGAGAGATGATAAAAGTTTTATGAAAATAGAGAGAGTTTCATGAGGATGAAGATATAGATGCGTTGAAAAGTGGGACATGAAACCCCACTAAGACTGGCCTTAAAATTCTATTTACTATCTATTTAAAAAAATTTATAAAACATTCTTTCTAACTGACAAAATAGCATTATGACCGGAGAGTGACCACATAAAATTCTAGCTCTATCTACCCCTTAAGTGGTGCTTATAGGATAGACAACACTAGCCTTCATCCTACCTTTCAACTCTAGACCGAACTTTAAGAGTTATTTTCCACCGTCCTTTCTCCTCCTCCCCTCATTGGCTCATTCCTCCTATGGTTCCGCATCACCATTTTTCCTTAAAAAGTATCACAAAATTACCTTAGAATTTCACAGAACTATGCATCTTTTGATATGCCCGAATATGGTTTTTGAGAATAGACGTAGTGCCGTTTAGAACGCTGATTCGTCTGGAGTTTGGACCACTGATTTATGCAAAAAGAGTCACTAGTAACAAAAGTCACACACTTATTTTACAAACAAATTTCCATTGATTGGTGAATGGAGAATACCTGGCATTCCGTGACCTTCAGCGTTTCCAAAAAGCCAAAGCCAAAGCCAAAGCCAAATTTATAGAATTATAGCCTACAAACAAGCTGGCCTCCTCGATGGGTCAAACTAGAAAAAGTATCTTGCCGTTGATCTTCCGCATTTCCTCACCCAAAGCCCAAAGCGAGCACTATCCAAGCTAGGATAAGAACAAGCACACCGACTTCAACATAGACATGCTGAACCGTTTTGATACAGTTTCAGATACCCACCGTGTGCAGATAATTAATGCTGAACTGACGTTTAACAATAAAACATGCAGCCTGTTCGTTTGGCTGGACTTGTTCGTTGCTGGATCGTGAAAAAGTACTACTGGCTGGTTTGGTGTGAGAGAAAAATATTGTTCCAGCTGAAAATTTATGATCGTTTACGACAAGCACCAGCCAACCGAACAGGCTGATGATCTTGTCACTTAAAACAGGATTTGACCTTAAACTAAACATGATCAGTAACAAGTACTACATAAGTGGCGAAAGCTAAGGCCTTGTTTAAGGTCCTGTGCGGATCTATGGGCTAAAGTTTAGTCCAGAGCTAAAGATTAGCCCTTAGAATGAAGGGGCTAAAGGTTAAAGTTTAGTCTATAGGATTGTTTGGATCCAGGAGCTAAAGATTAGCCATGTACCTACCATGACCCTTTGTCCCTAATTAATACTCATCGACAGCTATGCATAGGGATATGTGGGGGTAATATGCATCTTTTGGTATTGGGGAACCACTTTTAGTCCTCTTTAGCTCACTTTGGAGGGGCTAATGAAAAAAGATTGGGCTAAAGTTTAGCCATCACTTTTAGCCATATTGTTTTGATCCATGAGGGCTAAAAGGTGATTAAAAGAGGTGGCTAAACTTTGGCCCCATGGATCCAAACATGACATAAATCCAGAGGATAAAGTTTAGAGGTGTCACATCGGGTGTCACATGGAGGTGTCACATGGAAATGTTCGGATAGTAATAATAAAACAAATTACACAAGTCATCAGTAATCTGCGAGACGAATTTATTAAGCCTAATAATCCGGCATTAGCACATGTGTGTACTGTAGCACAACATTATCAAATCATGAACTAATTAGGCTTAAAAAATTTGTCTCGTAAATTAGTCGTGAACTGTGTAATTAGTTATTTTTAGTCTATATTTAATATTCCATACGTATGTTAAATATGATAGAGGCTAAAGTCTGGTAGGTGGAAACAAAGAAGGCCTGGCAGATGTGCAGACCAGAGCACGAAGATGCTGTCGGTGTCACAGTAGTCGTAGGCTCGTAGCAAAAATCGGTGTAGGTGTAGCATATGAGAGGGTGAAAGGGTTCTACTAGCAGTTCAGGACACTTACTTTCTACTATGAGAGGGTGAAAGGGTTCTACTAGAGTGCAAATCAAAGGTCAAGAAAGTTGTAAAAGTGACACCCTGGAGCTGCTCATAGTCTTCAGTGAAGGCAATTAGTTTCCATTGATTTATGTAAGAGGTGCCAAATTGAGGAATACCTTGCCTATCTTACGAACAAATCGAATTGATTGATTGGCGAATAGTACCACCGGCAGGAGGAAAGCATAGGCACGCTAGGCAATGGCCCCGTTCGATTTACCTTAAAAGCCAAGCCAGCTCGACTTCTTTTTTTTTAGTTGAAACAGTATTTTTCTCTCATAATAATTTAGTTTTGACTTATTTTTTCAGCCAAGCGAATGAGCCATACTACCCAGCTGGGCAGTGACCACTTCCGGAATCCACGACCTCAAAAATCAAAATGATAGAAAAGCCTTTGGACTCTGGTCGTTTCTTCATTCCACAGTTATACCCCCTCTGTTTCTTCACCCGGAAGCCAAAGCACGACCTATCATAGGATAAGGTCAAATATCAAACACCATCATCATATAAACCACACCTCCTTTCAAACACTAACACATGCTGAATTATCATACAAACCATGCAAAACGGTAGCAAATGCAAGGTTTGCAGTATGAGTTTGTTGAATAGCTTACATTTCTTCACGTATATTCCATCGCTACAAGTCACTAATTCCGTGGAAACCCCTAGAATTCCTTATTTTCTACACTCATGAACAGTCCTTGTAAATAACGTGCTATCTTGCTGCAAGTGCAGCACTTATTTTAACCACGTACCTCCTAGCATTCGACACAATTTGGTACTTCTAAAAGAACAAGAGAATAAATAATGGTACATCATAGATACATAAATAGAACTAATAACAGTAGAATCAATTAATCTGAATGGACGATACAGCTGCTGACACCTCCCTTGTTCTTGGGTCAGCATCTTCCAAAGAAACACCATGGCAGTCTTCTCGAACAAGAAGTGGCAGAACGCCAACTGAGCTCCAAGCATTTGCTACAGCATTATTTGCATCCCCCAAAGTCACTGAGTATACTGCATCGAAGCCACCAGCTCCGGGAACTCCAGACAGTAAAACACCCTCCATATTCATAGTGGCATCTAGTAGCTGTGTTTGTGAATCTGGCTCAATCTACAAAATTAGGGCAAAGATGACAAACAAGCTTGACTAATAATATTGACCCTAATATATATCTACAATTTCATACATTAGTGATCCATATTGCTGTGATTATGCCAAACATCATACTGAATATAATTCTTTGAACATGCTATACTACAATACTTGCAGTTTTGTAAAGGGGGCCTTACTGGAACACCGGCTGCTATACCCATCTCTCGCATGTGAAGCCTTATCTCAAGGGAAGCATCCCTTGCAGCCAACAATGATCTAACAATTAATTCTTGATCTTGGTTAGTAGCCACCTCTGTCCACTGCAGAGAACAAAGAAACAGAGAATTCATTTAAAAGAATAATAAAAGATTACTTTCAGTTGGTGATTAAAAATGGGAGTACAAGCTCTGGTCAGCCAAAAACTAAAAACCAAAATATTATGGTTTATCCTAACACTGCCTTTTCCTTATTCATCAATCTATTACTCCAAACAAATGCTAAGTTCTTTTCGGAAATTGGATAGTGTAATATAATAGATATAAGTATATAACATAATTATGTAGTTACCTTCCCATACGTGAGATGACTACAGGACCGCACTACAGACTCATATGCCTCCCGGTGATTTTCAGAAAGTCCTTTTAAGATTCTCAGTTGGTTCTCCAGCGCTGAATTGGCAATGGCCAGTTTACTCCATGTATCTTTGGATTTCTCAGGGTCAGACTTCTGCCACCGTTTCACAGATCCAACCATTGATGGAGTAGATGATCCTCCGGTTCCAGGTTCCCCAAGGAGCTAGCAAAAAACAAACATATGTAGAAAATAAAAATACTGTTGACATTGACACAAATCCTCAACACCCCCCCCCCCCACCCCCACGGGCGCGCCCCTTGCCCCTTCCTATTCATACTGTCTTGTGAACAGAAATGCAATTTTTTTATGCTATGCTTTGTACTTTTGGCTAAGATGTCCACTGTGCAAGGCCAAGGCAACATTTCTTTTTAACCTTGTGCTGTTTTGCAATGTGAGCCACACAAGTCTTATAATAGATATCAAGTGAAGAAATATTAATAAAGATACAACTTTGCAAGGATATTTTTAAGAGAAGGCAAGGCTGTGATAGACTTAACATGAAACATGAGAAGCATCTGGTGATGATGAAAATAAAATGGGACCAGCCATTCTACGACTTATCACTTTTCAAATCTGGATGACATCAATATTAGCATGGTATGCGTGTGAGAGATATATGACATGAGGTTATAACAGCAGTCTCATCGCACTTGTTGCCACTATGAGCATAAGACATGGCCTAATGGCTATAGCCTATAAGCATCATAGCATTGCAGTATCTAGTAAAGAAACTGTAAATCCTATACCACTAGTAGCAGCCTAGCAGACCAGTAGTTATGGTGGCTGGTGAAAACCAGTAAAATGATTTGATTGCCATTTTGGAAAAACCGGCCATTGACCATGAGGCTTGGTGACTTACAAGGGTCATCAGAGGAGGTAATGAAAACTGTTTATTCTCATGATCCCACCTTTGCGTAACAATATCTGATACTACATCTGGCAAGGAAGTCCCACCTGTAGCCTGTAAATATTGCAGTCATAATTACCAGCTCTTCAAATGTAGTGAGATTACACTGAAAAAGTTGATGAGGTGCACGTTATCTGCCACTGAGGTTTCTTACCTGAGCCGAGGAGAGTATTTCTGGAGAAAACCTTACATAGCATTGACTCCCATAGACAGCAGCACTAACATCAAAACCACTTCCAATTTTCCCTTGTGCTATACAATGTGCACTTTGGGCAATAGCGTGAACCAAGTCAAGACCTTGTTCAGTTGCATTATCACCGGAAGATTGTCCCGGACATGAAAGGTTAACGGCACCAAGATAGTGAAGGACAGCTGCAACAACTGATGTGGTCATGGCAGCTGATGACCCAAGTCCAGTTTTGGCTACTTCAGGTTTACATTTCTCTCCAGTCGTTGTTCCATTAGCAACCTCTGAGTTAAATGTAATTGAAGAGAATGGAGGCAATGAAAGCAATACCTCCGGAGTAAGAGGAAGACCACGTGCTTCAATCTGAAGAAACAATGGAAACCAATAAGATATAGTATTTTCTGGGTGAGCTCTAGTTGTAAACATGAACTAGGTCAAACAAGGAAATTTTATATGGTTTATAAGATATTTAGTATGTAAAGAGAAAGCAGTTTCACATGTTGCAGTTGATTAAATAATGCAAGGAGAATAACTTTTAGAAGGCGTTTGTTTCCATGGATGGAAACGTAAATGGTAAGGAAAACAGATCACGCGGGGAGCAGCAAGGGGATCTTTGATTCCCGTGATATGTCGGTTGCAAAAAAGTAATGGAAACTGATAACGGCAACTGCTGCGTAATGCGATAAAGCTTGCGGATGGGCGGTATCGGCTGTGAACGGGTCCATATCTGATTGCGGGGTACTCCATAACGGACCGAGTTGAACCAAACAGCTGTATCATCATCCCATCCCCTCCGTAATGTAATTACGTTACATTTCGCTGATCCAAACGCCATCTTAAATGTTTTACATTGCCATCTGGCAGTCAGTCATCTATTCAAAATTTTACAGTTGGCTATCCATTCAAAGTTCATTGAACCTTAAGTTTTACATAAGAAACGCTGTCATGAATGCATAGAGCATAAAGGAAAATAATAATCTTCAACTACACAAACTTTATAAGAAATAGAAAGCAAGCATTACATACATGCACATCATATGTCATATATAAATATAAATACCAACACATTAGCTTTGAGTTTTGCTTCTGATTTCGTCCTTTGTAGTAAGAAGTGCACTATGCTAATTTTGGTCTTTAACAAAACTAATACTTTTATCACAAAAGGTATGATCATCATCGTGGGAATAGAGAAGCAAAGCACAGTACAAAAGAATTCACACTTTAAGTTTCAAATTAAACTCTGGTAACTGTTTTATTGTTTTAGTAGAATTTGTAGATATTAGAAAATTATGTTCAAGATTGGGTAGTTCATTTTTTTTTTTGTAAGTGATGGTTCAAATTTTAAAAAAGAAGGAGCTACAAGGGTCATGTTAACATCAAATCTCTCTTTTCTTTACCAGTGGGATTGGGTTTTTGGGTGTAGTAGAGCTCTGCAAGAAGCTAAAATACACATGAGTAATGAGTATGCTTATACAATTAAGAAGGTTCACCTGCTTTCTATAAGAATAGAAATCATTGCAACCAAGAACTGTAATGTTCAGACCTGCAACAAGAAGTTGAGACATATTACCAAAAAAAAATGATATGCTCGAGTAGTATACATCAAGCATGTAACCTGATGGGGTGATTAAGAGCAGCAAAAATAACTAAGAGAAGCTTTGTAACCTTGCAACAGCAATTTATCAACTACATCCTTCCTCTCCTTATCAATAATGGTCGCTTTAGCAGCTGCTACGGAGAATTGTATGGCCTGCTCCACAAAAGGGTTTGTAGATTCCCTGAAATACAACCGTAACGCTGTCAGTGACATTACCACCAGACTCGAGTTTCAGGGATAATATAACAAAACAAGAGCACTTCACCACAAGATTGCAAATTTGCAACCATCAAGAACGATGAGCAACTTGCCTCGCAGACGTCAATTGCAACGTCGATTTCGTTATGGACAGCTTGTACGTGGCCTCTCGGGAGAGCTGAGGGGAAGTCACTTTGACATCCGTCCACGCCTAGCATCGGTACAGGGCACACAGGGTGAGGAGCAAGAGCAACACGCTGTAGCTTCTGAGACTAGAGGGATGGCAGTTGACGAGCGCTCACCCAGGCCCAGGAGTCGGCGGGGAGGCTGTCGCGGAGGGGGCGGACGACGGCGTAGAAGCGGGCGGTGGTGCTGAGGACTAGGCCGGCGTTGGGGCGCTCCAGCACGAGGTATCCTCCCGCGATGAGCACCTTCCCCGGCGCCGACGCCACCCTGCGACGACGCGGTCAGATCGGAGCCCAGAGATCGATAGATGCGGAACTTAGCGGGGGAGCGGGACAGTGAAATGACGGTGCTAGCGAGTACTCACACTTCCATGGCCTTCGACTCCTCGGCGGCCAAGACTCGATCTGGCGGTCACCTCTGCTGGAAGCTTCGTGGGAGTGGATGGAGGGAGGACGGGTCGAACAGCGCGGCAGCCGGCTGGGGAACGCTATCGCGATCTCGGCGACGGCTGGGCGCGGGGGGGAAGCGTACGGGTGCGGAGGAACCGAGGAGAAGTCGGCGATGTGGCCATGGGGGCGCCGCGACGCGAGTCTGACGGCCCAGGTGGCCGTTCAACTGGACCAGGCCTCGCTTTCGTTCAGAGTCGCGAGACACTAGCCTTGGGCTGAAAGCGACTAGCGCGTCGGTTTCCTTTGGAAGAGAATGATACTGGCCATTCCTCAAAAAAAAAAAATGATACGGGCCGTAAGAGTTGGCTTGGGCTGGACTTCCGCTAGTGTGTTTGTGACTGTCTCCCTCTGCTGTTTGATCAGAGGATTCAGGAATCATGTATGGACTGAAGTGTTCCATGACAGGCAGATAGGCTGCCTGACACTTAGGAGCCCTAATAGAGACAGATGCGATCCAAAGCAAACAACTGCCTGGAGTAGGTACATTACGTCTGGTTGATGCAGTTAGTTAGAGGAATCTCACAATCTCCCTGCACGCGAACCACCAGCAGAGGCGGCCCTTCCTGCATGCCACCATCCAATTGGGCAACTGGCTCGCCCTTCCCTTCTGCTGAGTTCACACCATGGTACCATCAACCATCTCATGCGTGGTCAGATCGATCGTTAGCTGCAAATCAAGCTCCCTGGCCACTGATCCATTAAACAAAGCTCGGTCAATGGGGGCGTCTCAAGCAGGCGATCTCGCGCTCGCTCGCTCGCTCGCTCTGGGCTTTGGCTCCTCCGACAGGGACACGTTGTGGTCCATGGCCTCTCGAGCCTGAAGGGGACCCGACGATCGATCCATGGATCTATCCATCCATCCAGCTGCATTATGATTTATAAGCTGCAACCTCCAGCAGGCAGCAGGAGAGCAAGGCATCTGTTCTACCTAGCTGATGGATCGATCAGCCAACTCTCTGAATGAAAAGAAAATATAGTATATATAATAAATGTACAGGTGGCTTTCCTGCTTACGCCCTCCTTGTATATTGTCTGAACCACCGGTCATCTGATCCTTAGAGGGAGGGGAGGCACACATATAAGTCATATGATGATTGGGGGACGTTGTCATTTTTTTTTTTTGGTCGGAATGTGGGGGCTGGTGGAGTAAAATAAGAGGGCCATGGCATTGGCATGTGAGACAATGTGGCTTTGTTCCCAGTTGAATTATCGCTCTAACAAATTCGTTCATCAGTGCTTTTCTTAATTCAGAGTCAATCAACAATTAAAGTTCTTGGCTGTGTGCGGCTTTAGAGGCCGCCGGAAGTATTCCGTTTACTAAAAAAACAATTAAAAGTCCTGATTCCGACATTGCAATTGAACTGCTGAATTAACCCCGCAGTTACTAAAAGACTTCCCAGTAGTGGAATAAAGTAAAGGCCTTCAATGCTCAACCAAAAACGTACTTATTTTGTAATTATTTTAGAACGCATGTTAAGTGCGAATTATTTTCCATGCGAATTGCCTATCTTTTTTCTTTCGACTAGGCATTTTAGTGCAACCCAATATTCAGTAATTAGAGGTTGAGTTCTTGGGATTCTACCATTGACATTCAAAATTTAGTTTTTTCTTGATCTTCAGGCAGTTTTATTTTCTAAGAAGAAGCTTCATGCAGAATATGTACTAGTAATATTACTGTGTTGTTATCATTTTCTTTCCAAAATGGAAAGATCCAAGCAGAGAATGCATATATATTGCTGGTATGGGCATAAGGAAGACCCCAAGACCGGGCCATGGCGCCGGAGCGAGGTTCATGAACCTAGCTCGACAATGATTGGTCTGTTGGGCTGAGAAATAGACGATCGAACAGTTGGCGCGGCCTGGCGGGACGAGAAGACTAGGAATGATGAACGCTCGCAAGCTTTCGTCGTCTCATCAAAGTTTGCGAAAGTGTTAAAGGATCCCTTGAACTAACCCTTTTTCAAATGCCCGCTTTTGTTGCCGCTAGACGAAGCAGCAGACGAAAAGAGCGCTCGTTGTTCGATTCTAAAGGGCAAAACAAAAGTGTGCGCTGCACCACAACTGTAAATATATAAAACATGGGCTGGGCCGGCCGGCTCTGCTGCAGCCTGCAGGGAATGCCTGCCCGTTGCCACTCGAGTCCACTGTCGTTTTTCTCCTTGAGGAAAGTCACATGAAGCCATGATGGAACCTCTGCTGGGATTTGCGAGTAGTGTGTGTGCCTGACATGATGAGCAATGATACTGCATGATCTTAATTTATCACTGTACTAGGTTACTACTAGCAAATCCTAGACACGGTTGATCGATCAGCAGCAGCTGTTGCATTGGTGCCGCGTGAATGCCGGCTTTGTTAACCAAATCCACTGAACTGCGTGAAGGATCAGCTTGTAAGCCTTCGATTTAATCGGAGGATCGTATTGCAGGTACGGTGGCGTACCGATCGATCGAGCTCAGGCCGGCTCGTAGTGCGCGGTGCTGCTTTATTCGATCGATCTGGCTTCAACTTTGTTCCGATGAGATTGAAAACGTGCGCGAGAGAAGACGCAACGTTCATGTTGCTAGCCGGCCGGCCGGCCGGCCAATCACATGTTCATTGCTGTAGCGCATGCAGCCGCGCCGGGGCGGGGGAGTGGAGGCAGGCACACGCCTGCAGAGACGCGCCGCGGTCGCCGGCCGGCCGCGCGGCGGACAGTCGTGCATGGCCGCGCGCTTCGGTGTCGACGCGGCCGGTCGGTCAACGTGCTCGTACGATACATGGCCGGCTCATCAGCTAGTTAGCTACTACAACATGCATGCACACGCACGCGCGCACGCCGAGGGCCGCTGGACTAGAGATCGAATACGTGCGCTACACGACGTCGTCGTAGTCGGCCCGCGCCGCGCCGCGCCTTGCCGGAGACGTACGCATACGTCGCCGCGTCGCGTCGCATTCATATAGATAGCACCACGTACGCGGCAATGCATGTGTGTGTGGCAGTCTGGTGTACGAATGAGTGATCTATCGTCGAGCTATACTACTTCAGTCTTCCGCAGCAGCTAGCTGGCCCTGGCCGGCAGGCGTGCGTGCGTCTACAGACGCTTCGTATCAGGACTAGTACAACACGATTTCCCTGAGCACTTGAGCAGGGATCGGAGAGGGAGCTGCAGGTAGCGCCAACACGTCCATCCTCTTACCTGTTCGGCTGATTATTTCTGCGACCGATAAGTCGGCTGAAGATTTGAAACGTCTCTTGCTCATTCGCGGACGCGTATACTTCACCGACAAGCTAAAGGGCTAAAGCCTCCGGCGCGCCCGCGTGTGTACGTATCATCTATCGACGCTGCACTGCTGCAGTACGTAGTAGCACACGTACCGGCTTGTATGTTTATGAGAGGAGATCGATCAGCTGGGGCTTTTATCTGAACCAGCCAGCAGTATTTCTCTCTCACATAAACGAACCAGTAACGATACGAACCAAACCGAACAGCCTGCAGATCCTGGGGCAGCTAGCGCTAGTACACGTACTGCTTACCTTACCGCAAGCTGGATGGCTGGCTAGCTATAGCTATGCTTGCGCGCTGACTTGTGCGTGGAAACGGAGCTCGGAAGGATCAAGCAGCCAGCCTGATGAGTGATGAGTGACCGGTGGACGCTTCATCTCTGCACAGGGATCCGCGATGCCCAACACGGATTCGCCAACCCCAACATCCTGCACGCGCGCGCGGATGCGCCGATCGACACAGGCAAAGTCATCCTTACATGTGTGGGTGTGACTTTGTGAGTGTGTGACCTTGTTCTTGTTTCAACTAACCTCCTTTGGAACCAGCAACGACTACAAGACCTGCATCCGTGCGAGAGCCACTGCTCTTGCATATTTTTTTTAACCTCAGCTCTTGCATCATCCACATGTACCGGCATCTTTCTTTCTTTCTTTCTTTCTTTCACGCAATCACACTACAGGTTCGGTTTTACCGGTAGCAGTACGTAGCACGCACGTACACGTGACGATTGTACGGCTGAAATGATTCTATACGGCTTCCAAAGTCCATGTTGGTAGTACTCCTATATGTTACTGCAATAGACAGCAGGGCGGTCGATCCGCACGCAGGCCAGTTGGTGTGTATTGGTAACCCCGCATTATTCAGCAGAAATTAAGGTGCAGGTTACACTACACGTGACGATTGCACAGAGAAGGAGAAGCAACCAGATCGATCAGCAGCAGCATATGTAGTAGTAGTTAATTGGCTTCGCTAGCTGTTGCACGCGGTGTGGCAAGATCGGAGATCGCGATGTGGCTAATGTGGCTGTGGAAAACCTGTTTGGTCGGTCGCAACTTGCCGCTGGCCGGTATATAGGACAGTGAGCCGCTGGGTGCTGCCTAGCAATCTCCCCCAGGGCCCAGCTAAGATCTCACTTAGAAGATCTACAGTATTTTCACAGAGTATAATCGTCAGTTTGTCACTTGACGCCAACTTGGCTAGATGCTCATCATCTGTAACAGTAGCGGCCAGTCTGAGATTGCCTGTGGTTAAAAAGTGTTGCTGCAATATCCAGGTGCAAGCTAGCTGAACCACCTTAATTAGAGAACAAAAGAATAGTGCCAATACGCAATCCATTTGAGATAGCGCTCGTCTGAAATCCTGCAGAACCACAGGCTTCCACGCTGCCTTTTTGGCGTTTCTCGCTTGGTTCTTGGTGTTTTTCAGCTAAGCGGCCAGGCAGACGCGGACGATCAAACATTACTACATTAGCGTCCCGTCCGCAACTTGAGCACAAAGCGCTGCGATTACAAAATGCACGCAGGTGGATCGTGCGTGGATGGAGCCGGCCGCAAAGCTTCTGCTGATGTTGGTATCGAACGGCCCGGGCATATGCAAAAGCGCGCGCTACAATCATTTGCGCGAGGCGAAATCCGTAGCATGTGGCGGCCGCCCCGGATGC